ACCTTGTTTGTCTATTATAACTCACCATCTCACATAGCTGTATCAATACCTCTAAATCTCATTCCCAAGTTTGTTTATTGTAACTCACCATCTCACATATCTGTTTCAATATCTCTAAATCTCATTACCTTGTTTGTCTATTATAACTCGCCAACTCACATAGCTGAATCAATACCTCTAAATATCATTCCTATGTTTGTCAATTATAACTCACCAACTCAAATAGCTGTATCAATACCTATAAATCTCATTACCCTGTTTGTCTATGATAACGCGCCTTCTCACATAGCTGTATTAATACCTCTAAATCTCATGCCTATGTTTGTCTATTATAACTGGGGGGCTCACATAGCTGTATCAAAACCTCTAAATCTCATACCCAAGTTTGTTTATTGTAACTCGCCATCTCACATAGTTGTTTAACATCTCTAAATCTCATTGCCTTGTTTGTCTATTATAACTCACCAACTCAAATAGCTGTATCAATACCTATAAATCTCATTACCCTGTTTGTTTATTGTAACTCGCCATCTCACATAGTTGTTAAACATATCTAAATCTCATTCTTGTGTCTGTTTTTTCAAACTTACCATCTCATCACAATTCAATTGCTACTAAATCTGATTAATCCCTGGGTGTACACGCAAACTCACCAACTGACTTTTTCTACACTCAAACTCACCAACTGGCTTTTTCTACGCTCAAACTAACCAACTGACTTTTCTACGCTCAAACCCACCAACTGACTTTTTCTACACTCAAACTCACCAATTATCTGTGTCTACAATCAAACTCGCCAAATTACAACTGTACTTGTAAATACCTCTAAATCTCATGCCTATGTTTGTCTATTATAACTGGGGGGCTCACATAGCTGTATCACTACCTCTAAATATCATTCCTATGTTTGTCTATTATAACTCGCCATCTCACATAGTTGTTAATCATCTCTAAATCTCATTACCCTGTTTGTCTATGATAACGCGCCTTCTCACATAGCTGTATCACTACCTCTAAATATCATTCCTATGTTTGTCAATTATAACTCACCAACTCACATAGCTGTATTAATACCTCTAAATCTCATTGCCTTGTTTGTCTATTATAACTGGGGGGCTCACATAGCTGTATCACTACCTCTAAATATCATTCCTATGTTTGTCAATTATAACTCACCAACTCACATAGCTGAATCAATACCTCTAAATCTCATCCCTAAGTTTGTTTTTTACAACTCACCATCCTACATAGCTGTATCAATGCCTCTAAATCTCATTCTTGTGTCTGTTTTTTCAAACTTACCATCTCATCACAATTCAATTGCTACTAAATATGATTAATCCCTGTGTATACACTCAAACTCACCAATTATCTGTGTCTACAATCAAACTCGCCAAATTACAACTGTACTTGTAAATACCTCTAAATCTCATGCCTATGTTTGTCTATTATAACTCGCCAACTCACATAGCTGTATCAAAACCTCTAAATCTCATTACCTTGTTTGTCTATTATAACTCGCCATCTCACATAGCTGTATTAATACCTCTAAATCTCATGCCTATGTTTGTCTATTATAACTCGCCATCTCACATAGTTGTTAAACATCTCTAAATCTCATTCTTGTGTCTGTTTTTTCTTACTTACCATCTCATCACAATACAATTGCTACTAAATCTGATTAATCCCTGTGTATACACGCAAACTCACCAACTGACTTTTTCTACGCTCAAACTCACCAACTGACTTTTCTACGCTCAAACTCACCAACTGACTTTTTCTACGCTCAAACTCACCAACTGACTTTTTCTACGCTCAAACTCACCAACTGACTTTTCCTACACTCAAACTCACCAATTCTCTGTGTCTACAATCAAACTCGCCAAATTACAACTGTACTTGTACCTATAGAGATCACTTCATTTATATGTGTATTAATTCAGGATCACTGCACATCTGTCAAGGGGCTCAGATAAGCTCCAATACAGATAAATAAAAAGTTCCCCAACTGTACAAGTGTCTTTTAAGCGCTCCAAATGTTAAGGTTCATCTCAAGGTCTTGGATAGTTCAAACACAAACAGCTCACATAATTCTAGACCTCAATGCAAACCAACTTTGGTAGTTTTCATAGAATATATTTACCTCTCGCAATTCTATATGTCTTTCATATATGTTTTTTCCTCCTTCAAATGTAATGAAGATATTGCAGGAGACTTGATTGGCTTCAATGAGACATTTATCAGGAACGGCCACTTTGGTGAACACGGAGATGGTGACAGTGGAGGGGGTCTGGTGCCAATCTGTCCGACAAGCTATCTTTTGTTTGTTTGACTGCAATAGAGATAAGGCATCAACTTAAATAATACAAATATTTACATAGAAATTAGACCATCAACGTACGCCTTATAAACTCTCCCAGATCTGGAATGTATATTTAACATCTGTATAAAAAATACAAGATTTTTGATATAGAAATCTGTTGATGATTGGATTATAAAATTTCAATATCAATGAAGCCATTATTGAAGATGTTTGACAGCAATACATATTTTCTCTTTGGTTTTAATTGCCTTTATATGGAATATTATTTTATTTTGAAAATGTTCCTGATGATCAAAGTGTCACATTGAAGATGTCAAGAACATAACACCAACATAATAATAATAAATATTAATAATTTGAGGTTCTTATATTTATAGATTATCACACTGTATTTTCAGGGTTTGTCGTGAGAACAATAGTGTATGATAGACTATTTATCATCTATATACTACTACCATATATATTTCTCCATTTAACAAGAGGCCCAATGGGCCTGCATCGCTCACCTGGTATTAATCTCACACTTGTAATCTTAAAAGTGGACTAAAATACAGTTACAGGCAAAATATCAGTGTTTCATTCATAAGAACCTATTAAAAGATTTAAACATATGACACCTGTGACCTTGAATGTTGAACAAGGACATTATAATATTAGGTTGAACAGAGTTTATAGTCTTCCAACCCAGCATGCTTCTGGAAAAATATCATTACCCTGGACCTTTTGGTTATACAGAACAAATCATTTTAAGATTTAAACATATATTGACCACTGTGACCTTGAATATGGGCGAAGGTCATTCACTTGGTAGTCCTTCATCCCAGCATGTTAATGGCCAAATATCATCACCCTTGGCCTTTTGCTTATTAAGAAG